TATTACGCCGCTATAGCAGTTTCTTCACTGGCGTCTTGCCAGAAAAGAAACACCCTTCGGTGCATACAAGCGAAGGTGGTTAATGGGTAATTAGTGGGCATATCAGCAACACACCTTTTCATATGTTATTTTTGGTTAATGTTCTTCCAATAAAATATTTGTACGTGGTTAACATGGTTTGATTAGGCACTCCTCATTTTCTACGGTTGCCTTTTTCCTAGAATTTGGATAACTTGGAAGTAATTTCAGATGTCTAGGTTCAGCGGGACAATGTACTGAGTATAGCATAATGCACTGATAGCTTATATTTCCTACCTGGTCTTCAAGACACTAACGCCATAGCGATAGATAGTTTCATATCCGCTAGCTCTTATTTATAATTTTTTTTTCGCTTTTTACCCTCATCAGCCCATCTCGCTTTTTATCTGTCTTGCCTTACGCCCCCAACGTTCTCCTCAACTTTATTCCCTCTAACCTCCATCGTCCGCTGTCTGTCACTTACAGGGTTGCCACTTTGGTAAATTGTTACCAAAATTGGTAGAAAAAATTTGGGTTGGTAGAAAGGTAAATTTTTTCTCATTTTGGTAGATTTTTGAAGAACTTTCCGTTCCCGATTTATTTTTCGTAGTTATCTTTTAATATATTTTACATTTCTTTGCATACTTTTTATATAATTACATACGTATAAATGTATATCGATATAAGGCGAACATATCGCGCTCCATTCAAAACTAATTTTACTGGAATCCCGAGGAGCTTTTGATTGCCTAAATATTTTAAATGATTATTTAAATATAAAGAAAAAATTTACGGGTATGTAATTACGCACTATGATTGTTCGCAAATAAATTAAATCAACGCCATTTTTTATCAATGAAAAAAAAGCATTTGCTTTAAAACTCCATACTTTAAATTGTCCTAAAAATTCAGAGTAAAAAAATCGAAATTTAGACGAAAATTTTTGGAATTTTTCTATATGCTGTATATAGTTTGAATCCTCGATTTTTATGGATTTAGTTAAAGCAATAACAAATTTTTACTCGAAAAATATTGCGAATATTAAAAAAAAAATTACTTTTTTGAGTCACTGTATTTGTCAATAATAACTCGAGTTGAAGTTTTTCAAATAATGAAGTTTCATTGTCGCCTTTAGTTTCATCACTTCCGCTTTTGGTGTGGTAGTTAAATAAAAAGTTCTTAAAAACAATTTTAATTTTTATTGAAATAGCTAAAAAAAAATTAAAAAACTAGAGTTTTAATTCAAATAAATAAAAAAATAACAAAACTATAGTTTTTATTAAAATAATTATAAAAAAGTTATTGGTAGATATTCCCAAGATTTGGTAGATTTTTTTCAAGTGGATGGTAAATAATTTTTTTCGTCAGTGGTAACCCTGGTCACTTACCTCGCGCAGAATCCAATTATGCGTATCGCGTGCCAGAAGCCATCAAAGTCCTCTTTGGCAGTTGGATTTAAATGGAACCACAACTCGAATAGATGATAGGGGAAGAAGCAGACGAAGAATACTAAAAATGCAAAAAAATACAAATAAAACAAAATAATGGTAACAAAGAGTTTAATTTAACTTTTTATGCAAACAATTTAAGTGTAAATTTCTATCAACATTTCCATTATTCTTCATTTTATTACATTCAATACCTATGTATGTATGCACTTTCAGTTGTGTGAGCGCAATCTGGCATTGGAGCAAACGTTCTTCAGCCCAGATTCGCCAATGCAAAACTGCTGCCACAATTGTCATGCAAATATGCGTAACCACGGTAGTTGCTTGGTAACATGACAATTAGCATTGAAAATCAGATTGGTCAATCATATTGCCAAGTGGAAATGTTAACGCCACAGTTAGAAAGGCGGCTTATACAAAATACCCTGAAAACCTCTTCAAGCATACTTGAAGAGGAAAACCACTATCTAACATTTATGTTCGTGCTCCTGCAATATGCAAACATAAGTATGTCATAAGGATGTTAAATAATACAGAGAATTATTATGATTGGTCGCTCTAAAGAATATCTCACAGTTTTATTTGAAGTTTGTAGAGAAAAATATTTTTTACATAGAAAAGCTGCTGGGTGCATTTTTTATGAAAATTCACTTTATGATATAGAAGGCAAGGAAAACTAAAAACGCATCGTTTACAAAACTTTAAAACTAGATGTTGCATTTCTAACTAATTCTATTTAGTGAAACGCCTATTTAGAAGACACAAAAAATTCGATAAGTCTAAAGAAATGCGAAAACGTTTAATCAAAATTGAATTCTACTTTGAAGGACTTTTGTTATTTCCGTTTAGCTTTTGTGTTCTGGCTCCATTTCATTCCTTTCTCATGCTATGTTGTGACCCAGCTTCAGCTGTCAAAAATATTTGCATTTCGTTCAGTTTAATTTCCAACAGATCGCATGCAAAGTCTAAGAACTGTGAAGCCCTCCATTTATGCATTTTATGTAGTTGAAAAAGTACTCGCTTCGCACATTTTTGCGCTGTTATGGTTCTATTTATGCTTTAAATTCTTAAAAGGGTTTTAAGTGTAATTTTAATAACTTTCCTATACACATAAGGATACTACGCATACCTGTACCTATTTAAGTGAATCGGGCTGTATGTTTTAAATAGACTAAAGTGTTGTATTCAAAATGTTGCAAAATACATACTTGAAGAAAATGATTTTGTGAAGCGTTTTTCTCTGCTACAAAATTTTAAAAACTGGATTTAGCAACTTTTTACTCTAAGCTAGCGATATGTACTACTTCAAAAAAAATTACTGACACAGAAAGAATGAAAAGTATTTCTTGAGATTTTAACCTTAGAACAATAAAAAGAAGAAATTTATCGAATTTCCAAATGAATATGGCATTCGCACATTTATTTAACCCACACTCAAATTAAATTAACCCAAACGCACATTAAACCAACGAAAATTTTTCCCGAAAAAGGGGGCGAAGGTTCGAAAATTGGCAATTTGGAAAAATCCAAAATGCAGCTCGTTTCACAAGATTTACAAAATGAAAAAGGTAACTGCTAGGCTTAAATGGTTTCTCGGTTATTTTAACCACTAACTCGCCCAAGAAATGGATTGTTCAATTGAGCCAGTCCCAGTCAATTGGATACCCGAATATTTCAATCAAAAAATTGTGCGATTTTTCCAGCACAAACAATAGAGAATACTATATTTGCTATCGTAGCACGAACTTGTTCCGTTTCGTGAATTAAAAAATTGCTTCGCGTTAAAATAAGCAAAATTCATTAGATCTGTGGGGTTTAATTTGGTTTGCTTTTGGGTTAAATAAATGGGCGAATGTTATTTTATATTACTACGCTTTTCTTATCTTTATAATTTATTGAGCTCAGTAAATCGGACCATAACTATGGATTTTATGGCTGATTTAAGTCTGATGTGCTTGCGTAAGCATAAATCCAAATTCATATGCAAAACCAAATATTGCATATTTCTTTGTTTTTACATTTTTATCGAAAAAAGAGGACACTTACATACATATTTTTTTTATTTCATCATGATTTTCGAAAATCTCGAAAAAAAATCCGAAAATTTTAACTCACAGAGAAATATCTATGTATATTTAATATTTGCAGTTAATAAACTATTTATCGGTCAAAATGTGCGTAATTTCCTCGGCCTTCCTTTAGGATGTGAGATAGGATAGGATAGAAATTAAACAAGTAATTTTTTGCATTAAATTATACATTGTCTGAGATTCAGCGCGCAGGCATACGCTACAGTGCTACTTTATGTACGCAGGCATGAAAAAACTTGTAATTTTTACAGTTTTGGTTCTTCCATTCTCAACTTTTTACAGTGTACTCCATAAATTTTGAAAACTTTTTAGATTGCACAAAAACAAAAAACAAAAATCGAAAAAATTTAAAAAGATACTTCTCTGTGAGTTCAAAATTTCGGAAATTTTTTTTTTCTAGACTTTCGAATATCATGATGAAAATATATAAAAAATTTAAAATAATATTTCACACCAAAACAAAACATTTAGGTGTAAATTTTACATGGAATTACCCATATGTACATAACATAAAAGTATTTCAATTACAAATAACGGGTTGCTGTTGTTGTAACAGCTAAATATTCTACAGCGTTTTGAGGAATGTCGCCGGATTGGCAGATATGAAAACGATTTTGTGAGTAACGTATGTATGTAGTATATACTAACATATTTGTACAGTTGCTGAACCAATTTATTATTTGCTTGTTTCTTTTTATTGGTTTCTTCCACTGGTACCAGCAGCCTTAGTCAGGGATTCAGCGATTTTTTTCGGATCGCATGCAAGCGGGAAGTCTCACACTAAAAAGTTCTTCATTGCAGCATTAATTTTGCCTGATTAAGAATGGTTATGAACTAACTGCATATGTTAACGCGAGTGATGTGTTTTCTAAATATAACATAGGTCCATACTCGCACATACATACATAGATGTATTTACTACAATTCTGTTTTGGCATAATGCCACGTAATGGGAAGACGCAGGACGGGCTCTATTCTCGGTAATAGATATTTCGGACTGAGTAAATCGGCAGCTATTTGCTGGCTGCATAGAATGCAATGTCAATCAAAATTGGTTGCTTTGCACTTCAGAGAATAACCAGGGCAACACAATATCGGATAACTCGTTAGTGCAGAGGGCTCTAATTGTGTGCGCCGAGTTTAATTATGCTGCAACTGAGATTTGTACACATGTATACATATGTATGTATTACATTATTGATGAATTGCTAAATAATTTTAGTTTGTTGCAAAGCTTACCCCATTGTGAATTTATAAACAGGTAAATTAATAAATAGCTTTCTCCCTTTATTTTTTTGATATGCGGCCATCTTATAGAAATTTTCAAAGGCACATTTTCCAATATGATGTGATCTCACCTTGTTCTTCTCGCTCTTAAGGCGATGCCACACGATTGGTAAATCTAACATTTTTTTATATTGGACTATTGGTAGAAAATAAAAAAAAATGGGACAACATTTTTTTTTTTGTAGTCACACGATTGGTAGAATACAGCGAACTTCTAATGAAAAATTTGAACAAATTATTTTTCGCGATTGGTATAAAGAAAAATATTTGTGCCCCAAATTTGCCCGAATTCACGCAATCAGCAAACGTAAACTAAATGTCACCGAATATAAACGAAAATCATGACGTAGGAAACAGAGCGACTAAAAATTTTTTTCTATGATATATTTAAATATTAGTCCAGTTTTCATGTAAATTTGCAAAAATAGCAACAAAGTGCCTGTACCAAGGCGAATCCATACAAGGTGATAGCGGCAGCACAAAAACAAAAAACTACACTAAGAAATTATGCGCACGATAACAATCAGAACACGAAAAAAATGTGCAACAAACGCAAAATCTTAACAATTAGCACAATTCGACTTGAAACTCGAATTCGACCGCTCCGGTGGCACCATCTTGTATGAATTCGCCTTGGCCTCTACTAAGGGAGCCGATTTGTCAAGAGAGAGCGACAAGACTGCTTATTGAGCAAGGGATGGTTATAAAGTAATTTTGTGGAGTTTTGGGCATTTTTTTATTATTTATTTGCCCTCTATTTTTCATGTTGAAATCGTAGAGCTCTTTATTTTATCAATTTTGTCACAGAATGCTAAGAGAGCTTCTGAGTAAAATATGAGCATCATGGCCATCCTCTAAATTTATACTTAGAAACGTAAAGTTTGGTACCAGCACCTCTTTTGGCAAAAGGAAAAATTTTGGAAGGTGCCCCAAACCCCATCTTGGGAAAATTTTGTTTGAACCACTCTCATGTACATACATATTTCATTCCCGACACGATGCTCTTCTACGATTTGCTTACTATTCGATTTAGCCATGTAAATATGGACTTAGCTCTTGCAACAACTCACCCACAACGAAAGCGACCACCATACGAGCTACGTGGCGACGGGCTCGCGCCTGCGACCGGGTCTGCATGCCCAACGCTTCGCCGGGCATTTCGCGTGCACTCGTGTGCAAACGCTTAGCCATGAGGATGTAAAGCGCACCAATAATAAATAGCGGCAGCAGATAATAGACGAACGCCTTGCTGATTACTGTATACCTAGAAAAAAGGATAAGTAATAATAAAAAAGGTTGAGAGTGAGAGTTTTCCGACAGTAAAAATTTAAAATTGGGATGTACATACATATGTATGTTAGTGTGTATGCATATTTATATCGTACATTTGCTGGTGTTGCACCGTTGTTCCGACACGGTATTAGTAGAATATATTTGGGAACGTATGTCCCTTGTCAAAAATGCATCCCTTGTCAAACATGATTTGGAGACAAACTGGCTTCAGTGTCATTTTTCGTTCTTAGGAAGAAATCCGATTTGACAAAGGATAGCAGAGTTTCCTTTTGAAATACATTATACTAGTATATACATATGTAAACAAAAACAAAATAAACCAAAATATGTCAACAAGAAAGAAAAATATTGGCAGATGGGTTGAAAAAAAGCACAATTCAGATTTCGATAGATGGCTAAAATCTTTCGCCCTTGTCAAATCGTTGAAAATATATTATTAAGTGCTTTAATAATATTTTGGCGCTTCCACTTTGGCTAGGTGTTTGGCCGAGCTTCTCCTCCTATTTGTAGTGTGCGTCTTGTTGATAGCTATAACACAAATGGAGGGACCTAAAGTTTTACGCCGCCTCGGAACGGCAAAAGGATTTTATTAGACACTTTTCCATGGCAAAAAAACACTTGTTCTAATTTTACACGTTTCTCGGGCCAAGGATCGAACACAGTTCCTACGGAGGGGTAGTATGCACCTCTAACCAATCAGCTCTAATATGTCAATTTGCATTATCTCCTTCTATCAGTAAGCTCATCTTTTCAATTCCTACCCGCCCAATTCCCAGGTCCAAGATTCGAATTTTTATGACGTCATAAATATATCTAAGTATCTAATACCATGTCCCCACCGGAGCTAACCACGTAGTTATGGCTATTGAGTTGGTTATCCCGATAACCCACTTGATTTAGCGTAGTTTCGCCATATAAAAATGACAGCACTTAACCATTTCACTGAGACGGTTAAAAGCTAACCAACTCGAAACCACGTCGAAAGTCTGATACAACCCTGTGTTTTCCCGCCATCTGTGGGTCATTAGCGTTGAAATGTAAAGAATTCGTTCCCTACTAGTGTTTGGACTAAACTAAAATCAGATTAGTTTTACTCCGGTTTTTAAAAAAAAATTAAATCTACTCCTCTACTCCGCTGGACTTCAAATCTATTCCGTTTTTTTCATTCATGTTATGCCCCTCTTGGGGCCGTTTTTTGAGTGTTCACCACCGGTTTCAGTAAAAAAAATTGAAAAGTAGCCAAATCTCACTGTTAAAAAGTAACTCTTTCATAGCAATGCGTCAATAAATTAACTTCGTTATTTTTTTACGTATGGCTGTACAAACTGGCGGATGCAGAACTTTACTTAAGTTGTTAAAAAATATATGTAGAATGAAATTTATATAAAGTATAAAAGGTTTGCTTTTTAAAAAATTAAGTGTTAGATACGTTCTACTTCATAGAAAATGCTAAAAATTACCTAAATATCCTAAATATTATCCTTGCATTGCTTCGCGTTCTTATTTTGCATGAATAGAAATTATTTTAGTCAAACAATTAATGTCAGAAACAAAAATAAAAAATTCAATCTAGTACGGAAAATTTGTTTTTGGTCCGATTTTTGCAGCGATTTAGTCCTGAATCGAGGTTTGGAGGTACGAACACTGTTCTTTACATTTGTACTGTTTTATAAACCTCAAACCGCAGTGTGGACACCAATAGTTAGTGATGTGGTTAAGTTCGATTCGAGATGGTTAACTTTTTGGTGGGGACATGGTATAAGGGTAATTGCCATCCTTTTTCTTTTGAATGAGCTCCGACCCGGTCTAAATCAAACCCCAAATCGGTTAATTGTGGCACTGGGTAAGTTAGTGCTGGAAGCCTAATCAAAAATTCAAGTTTTTTTTTTTAAATAGAGACCAAAAAGTGCGCTGAACTCAGCAGCACAGAGATCAATTTAACCCGGGAAAGTTTTACTTCGTCAAATGAACGACGCATATCCCTTTTGAAATGCAAAATTTCGCGCATAGTTTGATCTAAAACTGTAAATTTATACCAACAAGGCGAAACTAGACATCTTAAGTCTTATAATCTCTCCACAAATTTTGTTAAAATACGTGCACACTGCTTTCGCAAAGGTTCTCTAAAAATGTTGCAAAATAAGTATAACCTTCCAGGGTTAATGATGTTAAAGGATGGACTTCCTCGTCATTAGCTCACGTTACTTAAAGCTTTTGCTTGCATCAACGATTTTCATCTGGCAACCATTTATAGAAAACATGCAAATTTTAGCTTAATAAAAATAAGAATATGTACGAACCGAGCTACAGCAAACCTCTGTACATATATGTGGTGAATTTTTATATCAAATGCAAATAAAAAAAAAAAAAAAAAATTGCCTACGAAAACTGCAGGAATAAAATCGCCACATTTGGTGGCCTACAGCGCCAATTTGCGTATAGATGGCATAAACCCAAGCAAACAATGGTGTACATACGCGTAAGTATGTATGTATGTAGGTATCCCGTAGTGTTGAAAATATAAATTTGCTGTTAAACCGTAAAAGTGTCCCAAAGCGGAATGATAAAAACAAAATCATCATGGAAATATCTAAATAAAAATAGGCAAACATAAATACATGCATATGTATATATTTACATAAAGTGTGCGCGTGTGTGAATTTAAAACATTGCAGAGTTAGTTTTTGAGTTGACAAATCCCCGCGGAGAAGAAAAATGTTTATGTTATTTGACTGGCTTTATTTGCTTCGTGCGCACACTTTAATAAAAATGCGAAAATAATTTAATGTTTTCAGCAGTAACCGCTGTCCATGAGTGGTTTTTTAAACGTCTTTTCTTGTTTTAAATTTTTTGGGAAACTAGGGGTTACATTACAAAATTCAGAAAAATCTTACCTGGTATACGACTCCAGATTAGTGCGATTACGTCCAAATGGCGAGCAATAAACAATTATCGTCAGATTCTCGTTGTGTCCACCTGGCGGCAAATGTATTTCTTGAATGTCCGAGACGACAAAAGATGGTGTCGCCAACAAAATGGCCAGCAGCCAGATCATGGTGGCGGTAAAGACGGTCAAAGGTTTTGTCTGCAAGACGAAGTGGCATAGCATAAAATGAAATAAATGAAAATTATAACTGAGACTATTCATTGTTGCTGATTGTTGGCTGCTAAATAAAGCACAGCCTATAACCGAGCTCACCTGCAATTTACGCAACGGATTCACTATCGCACAATAGCGCTCGCCAGACAAAGCGGTCAGTGTAAACACCGAAACGCCAATGGAAATGTCTTTGAAGCATTCACTGATGCGACACATTTGGGCGCCAAACGTCCAACTCTCCTGTGTATAGACAATACAGGCCAACGGCACGCAAATGATGATGACCAGCAGATCGGCCAAGGCCAGAGACAAAATGTAGCTGTGCAATTGGAGAGATAGAGAAGTAGACACACAAATTGAGGCGACAAGGTGATAACAAACTTATTCAAGCACAAAACATTTAATGAAATATCAACACTCAACGCCCAAACAATGGCTATTCTTTACAAAGTCATGCAAATACCGAAATAAATACCATCCATGTATGTATATGCAAACAAAACAAATTGAGACTAAAGCCTGCAAGCATCTAGTATCGTCGTATCCTTTTGGATTTTTGCTCTTATTACAACACGATATCCATTGGCATGCCATGGCGTATGAGTGATGGCGAATTCAAATTTGTAAATAATCCCATGTTGCATATCACTCATACGCCCGGTTGCGAACGCTCGAAAAGGAAACCGAAATCGAGCAAGTAGTCAGGAAATGCAAACAAATAAACATTTCAAACCAATAATCAATGCCTTACACAGGCACAAAATGGAGAGTTTGCAAGCTAAGGAAAGACTGCACGCGGAGCACAAGCAAATGTGTCTGTGAAGACAGGGCAGATGTTGAAGTTTGATAGGCAATAAATAACATCGGCGGTGGCTTTTCGCAATGCTCTAACGCTCTGCTGGTCATGGATGAATTTCACTTACTAACATACCAGCTGCTAACATAGCAATATTGCACAACATTAAAGTATGTATGTAGATAAATATGGGCATTTCCAAGGGTCGCGAACCGTACGTTCGTACGCTTTTGAAGGTAAAAAAAAGGAACGCAAACTTGTCCCTCAGTTTCCGAGATTTCCGACTGAAATTTTGTAAGCGAATGTATTTTTATAATGTATTAATTATTTGTCGGAACCGTCAAAATCGGACCACTATAACTTATTGCTCCCACACATATGTAACTGATTGCTCATTTTAGTTCTCGGTCCTGGTTGACCATTCTGTAGAAATGCTCATATATAAATAACTGGGCAACCAGGCCCGTCCAGCAACAAAAAGTTGTAAAACGAGCCAACTGGCTGCGCATCACTACTGTCAGTGGCGTTGTCAGGCGTGTGTGACAAACGATAAGATCCAAGCGTACACATTAAAGTGGTAGGGCATTCGCAAAAGCAATAACAGTGAAAAAAAACAGCGCCCACTAGAACGCAACTACCGAAATGTAGCAAAAAGTGTGGGCGCATGATGAGTAGATGCTGGGCACCACAGGTAATAGCAGCTATTCTCGCATATCTGCAGCACTGAATGGCTTTTATGTTCCTATATAGTGGCTCATTTTGAAGAGCACAACCGCACGCCTCACATGTAAATTACCGCTATTTGTGTGTCATGAATACTTACATATATGTACATAAGTACATAGTAGGTTCGATTGCCTGTGCCTGATACAAAATTGTACGCAGCCATAAACGAGACACAAGTGCTTGTTATTCGAGCAATAATTGCCTTACTAAAGGTTCTAAGATGACTACTTGTGGAGTCCGCACACACATATGTATGTATATATATATATATGTATGTATGTATATATGTATAAACACATGTGTTACCAAATATTTATAATAACAGAATAGCAATATTACAATGGAAGCATTGCCACATTTGAAAGAAAAAAATATGTATGCAAAGATCAAATTAATTCTCCGGTCCATCTTATATTAAGCCATCAACATGAAGTATTTCATTGTGAGGATGTTATTCGCTGCCAGCATCTATTCTTGGGCTTGAATTCGTCAGTGGACTTAAACATACAAAGAACTTTAGTTCAGTCCTTGTAATTCGAGTGATATTCACCATATTTTGGCTTTTCTCTTTTTTAAATTAAGACGGCAATAAATCTTGTATCTTTGGTTATTTTAATATTTATTTGGTTTTTGGTATACATTTATTTGTTTATGGGTAGTATCCAGCTCTTAAGCAAAATCTGGAGAAATATTTTTTATTCTTTTTGTCGCTTGAAATAAAAGCGTAAGGTAAGTAAAAGAAAATTTTGGAAAAGTGTAGTACAAAACTTACGAAATTTCTAGAGAGCTGCAAACTGATTTAAGCAGTTTTGATAAAAAGAAATTTAGTTTTATGAGCGCATTTTATATGAAAATTTGGTGTTTTTCTTGAGAGCTGAACACGGACATTTAGGAAAGAAGCTATTAAGACAAAGAAAATACATCTAGAGTGACTCAAGGAACAGTTTACTTGGTAATTGTCTCTAAATATCCAAAATTTTTTGCATGTTAAAATTTTTAGCAAATTTTTTAAGAAATATTTTTTTCATGTTGTACCCTAAAATATGTATTTACATACATAAATCAAAAGTTCATGTTTATACTTAAGAAAAAATCACCATTTCTTCGAAATTGAAAATTTAAAGCTACATCAAAGAAGACCGGCAGCAAAAAGTTTATCAAAAGTAAAGACGAATTTATAGCTGCTTTAAAGCTGCGCTTTATTATGCAAAAATTATATTGGCTATAAATTTGCATACCCAAAGTTTGCATGAAAATTTTTGAATTTTTCCAAACATTTTATAAAGTTTGAGACTTTGGTAGGATTTGGCTATGGTTAAAGACAAATTCATATAAAATGACGCACAAGAAATGGAATAGAAACATTTTTCTATCAAAATTTCTTAAATTAGTATGCAACTCTTAAGAAAAAATTGCGCATATATTTATTTCTTCATGAAAATTTACAGCAACCGCAATGTAGTTTTCCTAGTAACAGAAATAATGAAAAATATTTCTTGGGATTTTTCTTGAAGGCCTTAAAGCGTGAAAAATATTTTTATAAAAAATTTATAAAAAAATTTTAACTTGAAAATTATTGCAAATACGAGTATTCAAAAAAACCTCTCCATATGAACGATTGTTTTTTCCACTGACTTTTCAATAGCACATCGCTTTAAAACTGAATAAAATTATATTCACATTAAAGCAAAACCTTCTTCAACTCGGTCTGTGCAGCCACGTTCCGCTACTAAAAGCTATAGGTTAAGGTTCGGAAGGCAACTCTATACTTCAACCCGTCGCTGGCAAATTTGCTGAATGGATGCCAGGAGGATATGAATCTATGTATATAACTGCTATAGACTTGCTTATAGCAAAGATCCCCGCTTGAAAGACACTGTAGTCATCAAGCCGGCGATATTATTGGAAATAAATAGCAACACACGCCAATTTCTTATCACCTTTGAGCCATCTGTGCAGATGGTAGGTCAGCGTCTTATGCTACTTTAGTTGGATTTCTAGCAACTTCAAACTTGCACTTGGTTTTACTAAAATTAAATGGGTTATAAAGCGACATACTTAGAATTTTTCTAAAAAATTAGTATCTATGCACTTTTGTTAAATTTTCCTGAGTTTTAGTATAAACACATTTTTTGTTTTTTAATTTTCGAAAAGAAAAGAATGAAAAACTTTGCACATATTACGAAAAATTTTCTGTGGCAATACTTTTGTTCGTCACTGTATGCATATTTAATTTCACTTGGAGTAAATACATTACTTCTTATTATTCAACCCATTACCAAATGCGTCGGAACACGACACAAATGGGGTAGAAAAAATGTTTCCTTGTCGGCCGACAATAAGAAAAAAAAAAACGCTTTTTCGTTTTCGGTATGGGTTCACGCTTAAGGCGGATTCATAGCTATAGTTCAGAACTTTTCTTCCATGTGGTTGTTTTTTGTTTTTTTTACTCTCCCTCGGAGAGCAGAAAGCTCTGAATGCTTTTTAATTGTTAACTCAACTTTAGAACTAAATACAACGATGAATCCGCTTCAGAGTAAGCTAATTAAAATATTTTGTGAAGAAAACAACTTTTTCAAATACTATTTTGTAAATTGCCAGTTGAGTTCCAGTCTACTTTTTGATTATTTGGTTTTTCTTTTACCTTCTGTATGGCAAATACACAAATATTGATTACAACATTGATAGAAAAAATGATTTCAAAGTATTTGATATTTTTACCAAAAAAAAAAGTTTCTTCATATGAAAACACTCCATCCAATTGCCCACATTTATAACCCCAAAAATGTGCCTAAATACTCCTAAGTCGCACAGTGTGCTTTTTTAACGCTTTCTATAGAAGCATTATTTTGATATGCACCAATCAGAGTGAATTTGAAATCCAATATAAGAGTAATTTACAATTTTTTTTTTTTTTTTGAAAAAATAAAGTGTTTAAAAGGCACACTGTGCGCCGCCCATCGACAAAAGGGCTATTTTTATGTATTATGATAACTTTTGACTGTTGGCTTTTCGCTTTTGTCTTTTGGCAAACTTACGTGTTGGGAATGTTGCGCATGGAACGATGCCGAAAAAATATTATCACCAAAGTGCCATTACCTAAAACGCCAACAATAAAGATGAGCGCAAACAGCACTGTGATAATATATGTCTCGGGTCGTTGCTCGGGTGGCACATAATCCGAGGCAGGATCGATATCCGCGTCATCATAGTCGCTTTCACTGTGGCCGCTGCCACCGCCGCCCGGCTCACTTTTGTTGCGCAGTCTGTCGACGAAAGAGTTGACAGCGGCTATATTGCCGACAGCAGCGGCCAAAGCCAGTCCTGCTACGTCGTCATAATACGCGCGCGATGTGGTGGCTGTGGCGTATGATGGGGCTGCGTCTATCGGGATGCCCGCGTCAAGCTGTGCCGGTGCAGGATGTGAGATAAGCATGTTTAGGCGGACACGCGAGCTGTGGAGTGCTGAAGAGTGTGACACCACTCTGCGTTGCTTTACTGCGTTCAGTTACTAAGTGGCTAACGCCTTGACGCTTGACGGATGATTTGCGCCTGAATGATGTGCGCTTCTTATGTCGTATTCACGCAGTGTTGAGTGGATTTTTATTATGTGCTGGCGAGGCGGACAAAATCGTACATTTTGCCGACGTATTTTTTTTCGTCAATCTTTTTTTTTTCCTTTGTCAGTTTGCTGAATATTACAGCCAGGACAGCTTACATTGTGTGAAGTTTAGCCACTGTAATAAAAAGAAGAAAATGTCGTTTTTATAACCTTTGGCTGGTAAGAGTACTCTGAATAAGAAGAAATCTATTTTTATACGCTTTTTGCGTTTTACTCTTGTTACGGCAATTTCTTAGTTCAGCTTAGTTTAATGACGCGATTCATTGGATGCTCGAAAGAAGTGGATTACGAGAAAAGCTGCTGTTAATATAGACAACTACTTACATATATATTTATGTATCCAGGAATGTTTTATAGCCCACGAGCAAACAAAAAATTACTCGCACTCATTTAGGATTTGACATTGTAGCACTGTCGCCATGCTATCAGATTATCCTCACTGTACCCCTCACGGCTTACATTTATCAATAGCACTGTGCATGATGAGTCATGTCGGCTAAGCGCTAATTCGCAGACACATACTCGTACATATATACACGCTTATATGTATGTATGTATCTAATTGTTTTAAATTTTTAAGGTATGTAAAATATAAACAATGCATGAACATTCATACATAGGATGTACGTTAAGATGTTGTCGAGCTGAACACTTTTGGCCCAGCAGTAAATAGAAAAATGAAAGCTTGCAGGAATCATGAAATTTTCAATCTTTTTTTAATTTTCGAATCCAACGAACTATTAGTTAAAAGGATTGTGTGAAAGTTTTTGAATGTGAATATCTGAATTTTTCAACAAAAAAATCAGTAGCCTTTTAAAATGAAAATTACCGAAGAAATATCTGAGTCATTTGAATGATAGTGAAACTTTATTGAATTACCGAATAAGTGAATTGTTTTGAACATGTAGGCAGAATTTAAAAAAAAAAAACTTTAATGCAAATCTCGACGCTGCTAGAGTTCAATAAGAAGTGGCCAAAAGTCAAGTAATGAATTTGATTCAAACCATTTTATTTTCGATTAATAGATAGATAGAAAAAAGTAGTTGAAAAAGAATTTTCAAAATAATGTATGAAGAAGTTTTATATTAGGTTTATTCCACGCGATAATTTTAAATATTAGCCATATAAGATAAATACACATAAAATCACTGCTTTTCTTCAAATTCTCACAAATGAAGGCTCAGCAAATGTTTGACGTATTTTCCATATTTTGCAAATCATATAAAGGATATGTAAAATGAAAAAGCAGTGAATAAGCTAAATTAAAATTTCAATTAAACAAACCGCAAAAATAAAAACAGGAGAAACGGCTGATTTTTCGAATCCGGGAACGGAATGTAGTTTTTTCGCGTTCCTCCCGCTCTGGCCACTTTTGGCACGTTTTGACACATTTTTTACGCTTGTGGGAGAGTAATTTATTTTTATTCTCTAAAAAAATAAAATTAATAAAAAATATTCAAAAATAATTAAAATAAAATTTTTATTTTTTTTTTCATTTTCAATCTCATAAATTTTTTATAATGACTTTTGCCAAAATTTCCAATTCAAAAGTTACCAAAACAAATTCTATAGGGCTGAGAAATATTATTTTCTACTTTTTAGTCCATTTATAGAAGCGTGGTATATAAAAAAAAATTTATTCTATTTATTTTCTTCTTTTTAAATGAATTGTATTTTATAAAACTGAGTTCTTTATTTATTTTCTCTTTCAACATATGTGCATACATACAGCAATTAATTTCATTTAAAGAAATGGCGTATCATGCGGATCCGCTAAAGCTTCGTGCATATTATGGCATAGTAATAATAATGTGGTTGTTAAATATTTAACTACTTCCGGCGAGGAGACATCTACCTCTAGTGTTGCCATTTGGATGTCCTTTGATATAATAGCTACCGACGAGGTTGATGTCTACACCTTTTCCAACAGTGTTTCGGGAAAACACAATGTATTTCAGAAAAACTCAAATGAATTTGAGAAAAACTCAAATGAATTTCAGAAAACCTCAAATGTATTTCAGAAAAGACCAAATGTATTTCAGAAAAAGCCAAATGAAATTCAGAAAAATACAATTGTATTTCAGTAAAGCTTAAATGATTTTCAGAAAAACACAAATGATTTTCAGAAAAGCACAACTGTATTCTAAAAATATTTTTCTGAAACACGTTTGTGCTTTTCTGAAATACATTTGCACTTTTCTGAAATACATTTGAAAAAGGTGTAGACTAGTTTTTATAGAAACTTTTATTATAGCAAAGCAGCCTGGACAAACAAGAAATCAAGTTGATAAAAGCGGTAATGAGAAATTGAATAATGACGATAAATGTTGACTGATTCAAATGTTCAGACAACGGAGGAAATTTTTTCAGTCATGAAATTTTTAGATGTGTCTTTAATGTATTTCAAATTATCTCCGTATTATATTATAAATCATCAAGATTTCAGCGGCGGAGCAGCGGGTTCTGGCTATCCACTTTAATCCAACATGACGCGGTTTACAAAAAGAGATATGTATCTTTGACTTACTTTTAGACTCAACACTAAAGTATAAGGTCGTTGAGTAGTGATATCTGTTGAGATTCAATGGCTTTTGAAAATTGTCGGACTCCATACTCAGTACGCCGTTTTCAATGAGTGTTAAATTTCAAGCAATCCGATCGATTTTCAAAATATCGTCCGCCATTTTGAATCTTTCCAATTTGACTACATATGCGTAATCAGCGACTCCAAAAACCACCGAGTGACAAGATTTTGAATTTGGCCCAGTTTTGATCCCTTCCTCCTGACCCATAGTTTGCTGTACAGCTCACGAGTAACTTTGATTTGAACTAAAATACTTTGCTTAACATAGACCAAATGTTATGTATCCCTTGGGGAAGGAGAAGCTATTTCCCTCTTAAGAAATTTTAGTATATTATTCTATTCGGAAAGAAGCGCATTCATATTTTTTTATTTGTCGATATCATCAAAATCGCTTGTTTCATGCACTTTTGAAAAATGACTCAACATTATCAAAAATCGATTTTTGTCGTTCTAATTCGTATTTTTATTGATATTCGAAGCTATGTGTGATGCTTTTTCGATTTGCTGCTTTTTAATTTTTTTTTGTTTTTTTTGGTAGAAAAACCAAAGATGACATTGCACTTTTCATAAAAAATTAAAAATTCATTTCTTTCTAAAAGGTCATTTTTTTGGCTAAATTTAGGTACTTTTTGTGAGATTTTAAAGAAATTAAAAAAAAGTATTCTTAGCCCAGTCAAGTTAGCTCAAAATAGATAGGTAAGCTTACAATAATTCGAACTGTACTGAAACAAAGGTCACATAAATTGATTTTTTTTTTTTTTCATTTTTCAACCAAACTGTAAGGTGAATCATAAAACTATGTGTCACAAAAGTGAAGTTCATGCAATTAAATTCCTGCCGCGTCCGTGCCACTCGTGGCCAACAAGTTGGCAACCGAACACACATCTATCTGGCTGCAGCAGTTGCTGAGGAAGCATAGCAAAAATGCACACTTCAATTGGTTCGCAATATTTCAAGCTTTTTTTTACTTTAAATTGTATTTGAAGAATCGTCATTTAACTACTTTGTGATTTAAGTGCTTTTACGAATAATTAATACTTTTTTAAAAAGGTAGTGTGAACGTACGTCACGTTTTAAACGTGTTTTAAGATTTTATTACGAATAAACGGTTAAACCCTAAATAAATGCAGCCAAAGAGATCTAACGGAACTGCAACCAGCAAACAAAATGGGTAAATGGAAGAATCGCAGTTACATTTCCAATTCATGTGCATAGTAAATTTAAGCGTTCTTTTCTCTGCTGCTCCCTTTACAATTTTGTTGACATTTACAACCGCATCCTTTTGCATACATAAAAAAAAGAACCCTATTTTTATTTACTTATCCTTATTCTCTTGCTAGTGTTCTTGCTCGGCATTTTTAAATTAAGTTGGAAATAAAACAACTTAAATTAACTTTCATCGCTGTCATAATTTTTCATTCTCTTTTTTGGTCATTCTCTTCGTGCAGGCTTTTGTCGTGATACCGCGCTGAAAAGTCCCAAAAGTCACAGCTTTATGATAATAACCGTTTTAATAATGAATTTTCATGAAATGTCACTCATACGCCGTGGAGGCGCAAGTGATTGTGGCGCTTGGCATTATGCGACGGCCATTTACGCATGTGTTGGCGCAATTAAAACGAAGCGCATATACTACATAAATACCACCCACATGAACACTCATACTTGCGCACGCTATTTATGTGCATATGGGTGTGTGTGTGTGTGTGAATTCCAATGAAAAATCATGGTAAACGGCAGCTTTCATACTTAGCTACTTAAATTCTGCATAATTGCTGCGCTACATGCATCCACAGGTAGCCATACGTACTATATGCGTATGTATGTATGTATAGAAGTGCACATATTTTTATTAAGCTTTCACATGCACTGCCGAACAATTTTGTAAAATAGACTCTGTAATTAAACCTACAATATTATATATATATATTGTTTGAAGGAGCTTTCATCACTGGCACAAATTGAAAAATGATATTGAGGTTATCTGGTTAAAAATTACTATTGTGTAGTGTATTTTATTGTTGTAACCTGAATAAAAAATATAACCGCATAACCACATAATCGGATACGCCGGCAAGCGTGAACAACCTCATTATTTCAATATGTAGCTTAAATATCAATCATAATCGGGTTTTCACTGTAAAAACTTATATATTCTCATTTGGATCAAGTAGTTTTGAATAATCGACCAGCATTGCTTTCAAAGGGTTCCGAAGAATCTGAACCGCAATAAAAGCTAAAAGTACTTGAGCGTATAATTTTTATGCATACATATGTACAAACTTAATTCGGGCGTACAATCTTTGCAAAGTTACACAAAAATAGACTATGGATATTAGTGTAAATTAGTAAGTACGTAGGTATGTATTTTTGTATGCATGTAAGTATGCGAGTGTACTACTAAAAAAAATATATATTTTCTGATGTATGCATATGGATTCATCAGTAAAGTTTAGGTATAGAGAGTTTTTTACAATAAGGGCAGCTGTTTTTAGTTGTTTTATTTTTCGCATATTATTTATCAAAATATT